GCTCAATCTTCTGCGGGATACGGAGGATTTGGTACCGCAGTTTGATCTCCTATGCTCCGCTGCAGAGTGCGAGGCTCTTCGGAACGCCAGCGATGTCGAATTAACGCACGAAGTGGCCGCTATGGGCCTGAGGGTAAGCTTCTTCTCTTCCCCCTCTTTTTGTGTTCCTTTTGTTCTTAGTGGTCTCAGCCTTCACTGACCCCGCTCTTTCCTTTTTTTTTGCTTTCAGTCTTACATGCTGGAGATTGAAAGTGCTTGCAGGGCCGACACTCAAGCCAAGATTTTTCTGAAGATGCTGGAAAAGTACCAGCGCTACCGCAACAAATACCGTGAGATGCATGAGCAGCTCAGGGTGAGCACCGGCAATCAATCTCTCAGAGAGGAGCTGGAGAAGAGGGATCAAGAGCTAATGCAGTCAATTCGTAGGAACAGCGAACTCGAGGAGCTGCTTCGTGCAAAGGACGAAGAACTCGAGTTAGGAAAGGGGGTCGCTGCGAGTGTAAGCATCTTCAGGCGAAGGTGATGTCGTTGCAATCTGAGCTCGATCAAAATGCCGTCAAAATCGAGGCTTTGGGTGCTGAATGGGTGGGGGAGCTGGCCGAGCTGGAGAGGAAAGTGTCCGAGTTGGAGAGCGCCGAGAGTGCCCGGGCGTCGGCCTTAGCAAAGGCAGCGGCGTTGGAGGACACTATCCGCGTCCTCCAATTTGAGCAGGAATCCGAGAGGGCAACAGCCACACTGAGGGAGACGAGGCTTGAACAGCGTATTGGAAAAATTGACCGGGAAGCTTCAAACTTGGGAGATCGGGTCGTTGTACTCGAGGCTGAGAAGGCGCAATTGTTGGCCCAGGTGGAATCTACCTCTGCCGTTGTCCCTCGCCACCTGCACGAGCTTTGGGTTCATGCCGAGGCCCAACGGGCATATACAAGTTTGTGGGAGGCGGGCAATATTTCCGAGGCTGTTTATGAAGGAGCCTGAACGAAGTCACGCGAGGCTCGTGTCAATTACGGCTACGACCCTGAGACGCCGGAGGCTGGCGAGGATGCTGATGCTGAGGAGGGGTTACCAGGAGATGACGATGGGGAGAACGGCGGTGATGATCCCGAGTGAAAAGTTGTTACCCTAGTGTAGGTCTTTTTTCTTTTTTTTTTGTAAATTGGGCCTGTTTTGGCCGCAGTTGTTGCGCATATTTAAATAAAAGGATTTTTTCGTCGTTGTACGTCCTTTGAATTTCTCCCCTCTCCCTTTGCTTTACATTTTTTGTTTTGGCGTAGATCTTCGGACTTTTGTACGGCGAATCCCTAATTTCTTGTTTTGGAAATCCGACCCTGACCGGGTCGAGTAAGATCTCATCGTGTAAATCTGAATAAAGATGAATTTTTCTTGTGACGGCGGCCCTTGGCCGTATAGGTGTTATTTCGAGCTACGGTCGAAATGTTAACTCGTTGTGATTCGAACGAGGTCGAATTCTTCTTTTGGCGATGGCCCTTGGCCGTAAGGGTGTTATTTCGAGTTAGGTCGAAATATTAACCCGTTGTGATTCGAACGAGGTCGAATTCTTCTTTTGGCGATGGCCCTTGGCCGTAGGGGTGTTATTTCGAGCTTAGGTCGAAATATTAACCCGTTGTGATTCGAACGAGGTCGAATTCTTCCTTTGGCGACGGCCCTTGGCCGTAGGGTGTTGTTTCGAGCTTAGGTCGAAATGTTAACCCGTTGCGATTCGAACGAGGTCGAATTCTTCTTTTGGCGATGGCCCTTGGCCGTAGGGGTGTTATTTCGAGCTTAGGTCGAAATGTTAACCCGTTGTGATTCGAACGAGGTCGAATTCTTCTTTTGGCGATGGC